TGGTTAATCTGGAAGTAACGTAATTCGTAACTCTCTTTGCTGTTAGCGACTACGCGCAACCAATCACGTAGATTATTCTTCTTCAAATATTTTTTGGTGAGATATTTCAAATACCTTTTGGAGAAAGGCACCTCAGACGTCACGGTGATCTTGCTCTTGCTCCTTTCGATGGTCACCACCCCTCCACCAAGGTTCCCGGATTTTCCGTTCACTTTGATCCTTTCTTGCAAAAACTGCTCAAAATTGGCAGCATCCATGATTCCATCTTCTACAGGGTGGGTGCAATCAAGAGTGAACTTCGGAACCTGCTTCTTTTTTTCGCCCCCCTTCGCCACAAGCTTTTTCACAGGAGCCATGGCCGCAGCGGAGGCAGAAACGGAGATGTGGCTGACAATTTCTGAGATTACTTCTAGGTCACTTGTTTGATTAGCTGTGTTTTTTTGAATATTCAGCCCATTTGTTAACTTGAATTTTTTCAAGATATCTAATAGGACTATTCTTAGAACCATTTGTTTCTATTTCAAAAAGGATACTCTTTGCCGTCTAAACATATTCAATCTTTTAAGATTCTACCTCTGTAATTCCAACACTTGGGAGGCCAAGAAAGGCAGATCACCTGAGTTTGGGAGCTTGAGGCCAGACTGGCTCATGTGGTGAAACCTCATCTCTACTAAAACTACAAAATCTAGCTGGGACTGGTGGCATATGCCTGTAATCCCAGCTACTCAGGAGGCTGAGGCAGGAGAATTGCTTGAACCCGGGAGGCTGAGGTTGCAGTAGGCCAAGATCGTGCCATTGCACTCCAGCCTGGATGACAGTGAGACTCCATCTCCCCCAAAAAACCCCAAAGATTCTGTTTCAATTCTGATGTTTTTTTTTATTGCATTTTAGGTTTTGGGGTACATGTGAAGAACATGCAAGATTGTTGCATAGGTACACACATGGCAGTGTGATTTGCTGCCTTCCTCCTCTTCATGTATATCTGGCATTTCTTCCCATGCTATCTCTCCCCAACTCCCCACCCCCTGCTGTCCCTCCCCTATTTCCCCCCCAACAGAGAGGGGAGTGTGTGATGCTCCCCTCTCTGTGTCCATGTGTTCTCACTGTTCAACACCCGCCTATGAGTGAGAACATGTGTGTTTGATTTTCTGTTCTTGTGTTTTCTTATTGGAATTGCTTCTATTATGTATTGGCTTTCCTCAAGTTTAAGTAGAAGCACTATTTATTATTTTTTATTTTTTATTATTTTATTATTTTATATAATATATATAATATTATATATATAATATATAATTTATATAATATATTTTATTATTATTTATTATTTATTATTAACAGAATACAAGATTTGAACATGTGCTATTGTAGCTACTTCATTAATGTAGTTAATCTTCTCAACTTTATAAAGTACTATTAACCCCATGTGATGGTTAATACTGAATGTCAACTTGATTGGATTGCATGATACAAAGTATTGATCCTTGGTGTGTGGGTGAGGATGTTGCCAAAGGAAATTGACATTTCAGTCAGTCAGCTGGGAAAGGCAGACCCACCCTTAATGTGTGTGGACACAGTTTAATCATTTGCCAGCTTTGCTAGCTCAGCTAGAATATAAGCAGGAAGAAAATGTGCAAAGAGACTGGTCTAGCCTCCCAGCCTACATCTTTCTCCCATGCTGGATGTTTCCTGCCATCAAACATCAGATTCCAGTTTCTTCAGTTTTGGAATTCATACTGGGTCTCCTTGCTCCTCAGCCTGCAGATGGCCCATTGTGGGACCTTGTGATTTTATGGGTTAATACTTAATAAAATCCCCTTTATATATATATTCCATTAGTTCTGTCCCTTTAGAGAACCCTGACTAATACAGGTTTTGGTACTGACACTGGGGTAGTTCTAGAGGAACAGAATATTAAGGATGGAGTTCTTTCATTGGCTTTGGAGTTTCTGGAGTTGGTCGCTTAATATAATTAATTAGACCCCAGAATGCTAAGAACTCTACTCCTAATCGTATGGAGAAAACTGATAGTCCTTGGCATGAACTGTTTAGAGAGTTATGCAAAATAAGTGCATTTGACACCTCTGGTTCATGGCTCATGAGAGGCAAGGAGTTTAGTGACTATATATAATACCTTTGACCATATATGGAGAACCAAGGAACATAATAGCTGGTTGGCTGTCCCTAAGTTCAGTGGACAAAGTGAGGAAAGAAAATGATGAACTCAGGAATTCTATATTCCAGCTTCAGAAGCAGATACTGAGCTTCAAATCCACTAAGATTGCCCTGAGTGAGAGTCCTATCTCCTGCAGAGAAAGAGCTGAAATTTTGGAAAAACAGACACAAGCTCTTATCATGAGAGTGGCTGACCTGCAATGAAAGTGCATGCACAGCCTCACCAGGTGTCTATTGTTAAAGTAAGGATATTGATTGGAAAAGAATGGGACCCTGCAACTTGGAATGGGGATGTGTGGGAGGACCCTTATGAAACTGGGGACACTGAGCTTGTAAACTCTGATGGAACTTTTCTGCCAGAAGAAACAGCTTCACCATTCTGAGTAGTGGCCATATCCCCTCCCTGGCCCATGCTGCCATCAGCCTTTCCACCTTTGTCTGAGGAGATAAACCCTGAGCTACCTGAGGCAACAGTGACGGCCTCCCGAGGGAGTTGCCAGGGAAGATAATGTTGATTCTTCTCAGGAGCCACCCCCAATACCCCTGTTTGCTTCTAGACCTATAATTAGACTAAAGTCCTGGCAGGTTCCTAGAGGTGAGGTTGAGACTGTGACCCATGAGAAGGTGGGCTACATTTGAAAAGGACTGCTTGGGTTTTCTAATTTATATGAACAAAAATCTGGAGAACAGGCATGGTGGATATTAACGGTGTGGGATAATGGTGGAAGGAACATAAAGTTGGATCAGGCTAAATTTATTAATTTGATCCCATTAAGTAGGGGCCCTACACTTAATGTTGCAGCTCAATGGGAGCTACTTAATTTATGCAAGAAGAAAACATCTAGGTTTAATGGAAAAAAAGACTAATTCTAATTATGAAAACAGAATTCCAGCCCCTCAACCAATTTCTAGACTTGAGCCAGTTTATGGGTCCAGAACTCCCTGAATGAAGGGGAGGCTTGGTCCCCTTAAGGACCCCCACTACATTACCAACAATTTATGCAGTGAATCTCACTTCCTTCCTCAAGGTGACTTCCAGCCTTTACCAAAGTAACAGTGCCTTGGGGAAAGCGAAATGATCAGACATTTTGGAGGCTACTAGACACTGGCTCTGAGTTGACATTGATTCCGGGGGACCCAAAACATCATTGTTGGTCCTTCAGTTAAAGTAAGGGCTTATGGAGGTCAGGGAAGTAATGGAGTTTTAGCACAGGTCTGACTTACAGTAGGTCTAGTGGGTCCCCAGACTCATCCTGTGGTCATTTCCCCAGTGCGAGAAGGCATAATTGGCATAGACATAATTAGCAGCTGGCAGAACCCCCACGTTGGCTCCTTGACTGGTAGGTGAGAAGCATTAAGGTGGGAAAGGTCAAACGGAAGCCATTAGAGCTGCCTCTATCTACAAGAATAGTACATCAAAAACAATATCCCATCTCTGGAGGGATTGTGGAGATTAGTGCCACCATCAAGTACTTGAAAGACGCAGGGGTGATGATTCCCACCACATCCCCATTCAACTCTCCCATATGGCCTGTGCAGAAGACAAATGGATCTTGGAGAATGACAGCGGATTATCGTAAGCTTAACCAAGTGGTGACTCCCATTGCAGCTGCTGTACCAGATGTGGACCCCAAGTTCTTCAGTTTTGGAACTCGGACTGTCTCTCCTTGCTTCTCAGCCTGCAGACAGCCTATTGTGGGACCTTGTGATTATGTGGGTTAATACTGAATAAAATCCTTTATATATATATCTATTCTATTAATTCTGTGCCTCTAGAAAACCTTAATATACTCCACTTTACAGATGACCCAACTGAGGCAATGAAGAGGTAAAAACTCAAGGCCAAGGAGTTAATAAGTTTTGGAGCCTGCACACAATCCCATTGAGCCCCTATTTCTTCCTAGTCATTTGAGGCCCTGAGAAACCTGATTGAAGCTTGCATGCTCATTCTTTGCTCCTGAAAATAATTACATTAGTAGCTAATTGGCTTACAGTGCAATGGATAGAGGCATCCACACATTTAGCTGCAAAGCATTAATTACCTCTGTGTACCCTCCTGCAGCCCACACCTACCCCTGACTATGAAAAGGCACTGCACATCCTTCAGGTGAAGGTCACCTTTTCTAGACCAAGAATTGTTTTTAATCTTAGCTCTGCATTTGATATGAAGGAACCCCTATTGTAAATTTAAAGTACATATACAAATAAGAAGAGAACATTAAGAAGTGAGATTTCACCACTTAATTTCTAGTACATCCACTTGTACTGCTTCCATTTACCAAAGCCTGACTCTGGGTGTCAAGGTGGGGTAGGAGCATGGTAGAGGAAAGATTTTTTTTTTAACTTAATGCACTCACCATCTCAGGAAGCTTTTTATACCAAATCCACACTGCCGTTGGAGCACAATCTGCTTACACATAATTATAATGCAAAGCAGATTTATTCGGATGCATAGCAAAGAGGGTTAGTAAGCTATTTAAGAAGGAAAGCAGCCTTCAGGCAAGTGGAACTGATCAGGACTTAAGCATCTGACTCTGGGATCACTACAATGGGAAGACTTGCTGTACTGCCTTCAGAAGTTAAGTCTCTTCACCTGTTGTCTTAGCAGATTTTTCAGATGGGCCTTTCTGTTGGAGAAACTCTTCTACTATCTTCTGTTGGTGCTCCAAAAAAGCTATGCTTACTCCCTGTTTATGTAGGAACTCCATTACGATGTTTACGAGCTATAGAAATAAAACAAGGAAGCACCCACATTAAGGGCCACATCTGCAACAAGAAGCTACCCATCTTCTAGCCCAGGGACCAGCAGTCCCGGAAGCATGTCAGAAATTCAAAATCTCAGGTTCCACCCCAGATCTACTAAACCAACCATTTTAAGAGAGACTAGGTGATTCGTATGCCTACTGAAGATCCAACAGCACTCATCTAAGATATTCAAGACCTTTGAATATCAGCATCTGCTTCCAATGGGTATGAGTATTAGGTTGTCTCATCAAAAGCACAGGTTATTTTAAGTAACAGGCTTCTACAGCAATGGTTTTCAATCCTGACTATTTGAATCACAGAGATTTTGAGTAGCTCCCCAGACCTATTCCTAAAGATTGAAATTGAAGTGATCTGGCATAAGGCTCAGGCACTTGTGCCATTTCAGAGCGCCTCATTGAGTCCAATATGTATCTAGAGTTGAGAGCTATTGCACTAGGCCCATTTTCTTCACTTCGACTTCCTGAGAAGCTAGGGGGTTAGAAAGACGTTACCACGTTGAGGTAGAGTGTTTACCAATAACCAGGAAGACTTCAGAGACGTCTGTATTGTAATAGACCACCACTAACATCTACTTTTGCAGTGACAGTCTAGGACAGCAGTTCTCAAATTGTGGCCATCAGCCAGCAGCATCACCACCCAGACTTGTTAGAAATACATTCTTGAGACCCATATAAAACCAACCCAATAAAACACTTTTGGGGGTGAGCCTAGAAGTTTGTTTTAGTAAGCCCTCCAAGGGATTCTTGTGCTCAGTAAATCTTAAGCATTTCTGGTTTAGGAGATTTACAAGCCAGCAGCAACAAAACCATTGTTTGGTTTTATTTTATAGAGCGCATTACTCCTGGGAAGATGTTTTCACTGTATACTAAGTTTCATTTTTCCTTACCAGGACAACTGTCTTCCCACTCCCAAACTACTAGAAATAAGTTCGCAGACCTCCTTGGAGGGAAACAAACACATGTTGTGTGATTTGTTGCCTTGATCATATTTCCCAGAAGCAAATCATAAACCAGAAGTAAAAGATGACACTATCAGAACCAGTTAACTACTTACCTCAGTTTCTTCATCCTTAGAAGCTGTGGTTTTCAGGTCTTGTAGGACATCGGTTAATATGTTCTCCAACTGCACAGCACATTTCAGGGCTTGTAAGCCACTTCCCCAGTTATCTATGTCAGGCCTCTGTTGGAGAGGAATAGGAGAGTCGCTTTTCTACTTCAAACACGGTTTTGTTGCATTCTGCTTTCTGTGTAGGACCATGACTAGATTTGCGCAATGTAATGGTCTCCAAACTTTGAGACGCAACGGAATCAGCTGAGAATCTTAAATGTTAATGCTTGACTCTCAACCACAGACCCTGTGACTTAATTGGGGTATGGGATGCTACATGGGCATCATGATTTTTAAAAGATTCCCAGGTGATCTTAATGTGCTACACAGCAAGGGTACTACTAGCACAGGTACCCTTACAAGTATTCCATTAGCTTTGGAATTGTATGATGGTGGTCCAACAGTTATTAGCAGACATTTACTTCTTTTTATAAAGCTGGAGTTAAAAAAAAAAAAAACCTTAGGAAAATTAGGTATGTCCTGGATGTAATATTCCCAAATAAGTTTCAGGTTGTTTGAAGTGTGTGCCCGGACAAAAAAAAAAAAAGTTTGTTTCACTGCTTTAAAGAGACAGCCATATTAAATACCTGAACATGTATCTGAATTAGATTAACAATCTGAAATAGGATGCTAACACCTCTGGGAATAAGGCATTAGAATAGAGCTTCTTGAACTACACATACCATTAGGATCATCTGAAGACCTTAAGATATAGCCCTTTGGGCCTATGTCTGGGGTGAGAGCCATAAATTTGCATTTCTAATGAGTCCCCAGGTGATACTGACAACCTAGAGGCCACACTTTGTGAAGCTCATTAAGACAAGCCAAACGAGCATTTAGTGGCCACAATTTACCCCAAATGATGTGGACATATACTTGCTCTCAACGTCAGTTAGTTGCTGAGAAGCCCATGTTGGAACATGAGTAACCTAAGAAGTTAGTAGCAACTAACCAGTTTAGTTTAATTCTCTAGACCTGGCAAAGGCCCCACAGAAGTCATCATAAAGTTTGACATTCACCTTAATAACCGGAAGGCAGATCATACTCTCACGTTTTCTTAGATATCTTAGGAACCGCTTTGCATGCTCCCTTTTCATCTCAGCCTGCTCCGAGAAGAACTTGGCAAAAGGAGGTATTCCTGTATCTTCAGTGTAGTAACAGGCCTGGTCAAATATAAGAAGAGGGGGAAGCTGAGGGTGAGATAAAGTAGTTTTTAAGACCCGACTCTCACACAAACTCACTTTGATGTCTCAGTGGTTGTCCAGGAAGAGGCCTTCTTTGGTCAGTCTTGGGGCTGTTTGTTCTTGGACCTCCAGAAGGCTCTAGCTGTACCCCAGAACCTAGTCTACCTCAAAGATCAGCTATGCAGTCCCAATATGCTGGTGCCTAATGTTTTACTCTTATGGCCTCTTTAAGGGTCATATTTTTTAACTTAGATGCGAGAACTTAGATCTTTTAATTTTGTAGATATTGACAAGTATAGCATAAATCCACATTTTAAAAACACACTTCATCAATCCTAACACATCCATATTAATTTCGAAATAGTGTATCGGTATAAAACGGTTTATTCAGTCTGTCACCAGTGTTTGATGCCCGTGTAGTTTTGGAAACACACTGGAAAGAACTGCAACTTTCCCTATCAAAGCCCACAGCTTGTAATCCTAGGGCTGCAGAGAACCAATATCCCAACCACTGAATCGCTGCTTTGTCTGCTATTTGACCACCAATCTGGCCATAACCGCTAATATTAAGGAGATAGAAGATATATTTTCACCCAGAGCAGAGCTAAAATATTCCTCTCAGTTGCTCAAGAACCCATACTAACCATGGATAAATAAACATCACTGGCAAGCAGCTCATAAGCTGCTACGCGGTTAATAGCAACTTTACACTCTTCAGAGATGGGAACGTGGGCCTTGTGTTCCATCTCAGCTTTAGGGAAATCCAGCCATAAGAAGTAACACCTACTCAGGTAAGGGATTTCTTAAATACTAACAGGAATATAGCCAGCCAGCGTCTTACAAGATGGAATTCCCTTCAGGTGAGATTAACAGCTACTAATCTACCAATGAGCACATTGTTTCCAGATGAAAGAACCAATCAAGTCAGAGAAAATAGTGAAGACAAAGGAGGTTAGCGCTCTTACTGTCCCAGTCAGTGTTCAGTGTTTTCTCTCTTCTCTCTGATTGTGGTTTGAGAAGACTGTTATATTTCATGAACAGTAAGATATTAACAGAAAGGATGCGTTACCTTTAATTGTTTTCCTTTCTTCAGAAACCATTACAGCAAGGCATGCTGGATCCAATGGCAAATCTAAAAAGACTGGCTAAAATGCATTTTGTCTATGAGGGACCATACATCTCCCTCCTTTCTCCGTAAGACCCCAACACACATAATTGATCTCAAGCTGGGATATGATGGGAGTTCTGAGATGTCAACAGCACATTCAGCGAGGGGAATAGTGCTGGGAATACTCTGAACCCCTCTGTGGTGACTAAGCAACCCCAAGCTTCTGGAAGAATTGGCAAAACCCAAGCTATCTGAAATAACAAGAAATTGTTGTTGATTTTTAACCTGTAAATTCTCTTAGAATTTGGTTTTCCTGAAACGAGTTATTTGCTTTGTGATGCTTGTTACTGTACCAATTATATTTGAGAAAATGAAGGACAATGTGAAATGCCGAGCTGTAACTTGTAACTTTGGCTCTGCTGAACTGTTCTGGTAAAAACAGGAACTCTGTGAAAGGAACTAACCATGGAGCTTGACTGCCCGAGAGAGATGACAGCGCATAATGGGCTTCTCGTTGCAGAGAGCCTATAAACCGAAGTGTAATGGAGAGGCTTATTACCTGAATTCCTTTCCCAGGAAAAGCATATTGATTAGGGCCCTGGAAAGGGGATGCGACCCTTATGGAGAGCCTATAAATGGACTCTATAAATGGACTCGTGAGGGGCGTCTGTCTCTGTGGTTGAGATAAGGATGTAAAAGTCTTTCTTCTCCCGCTGCTCCTCCAGGCCTGTGTGGAGCCCCCGCCTCTTGCAGTTTTTGTGGTCAGGCTGGTTGTCCTGTGTCAGATCCTGTTCTCCCTGTAGCTGGGAGCCCAATATGTTCTTGCTGATAATCATAAGGTTATGTTTAATCTATATTCTTGCTAAGGTGTATGATTTCTATGTTGACACACAGTTATCTTTACATTGTTCTGCTTTTATAATACCACGTTGTGATTTTTGTGTGCCAGTTTTTGCAAATGTATTCTTTTTGTATAATTATCACTGAAACTTTGCATAACCTCGCTCCCCCTCTCCTATTGAAAGAGCACAATAAAAAACAGGTTTTCAGGGGGATGTCAGACACCCACGGAGCAGCATTATGTGGTGTCTTCCCTGGGCCCAGCTTTAAGGAAAATTTTTTCTTGTCTCTCTTTTTTACCCACCACTCGATCACTTTGAGAGATCTTAAATCCAGATTGATGTATTGGGAGCTGGTCTCACCAATATAATAGGGCAGATTTAATTAATAAATTGGCCTTGGAAACTGAACAAGCATGTAGAGAAGTAGAAATGGAAGAAGGGCATTCCACCTGGAAAACAAGCCACACAGGCTGTAAATATGAGACGTGTTAGTGGTTTCTACAATCTATAGAAGACTTCTCCAGTTGGGAACCTTTGGCCCTTCCTTATACTGTATCCCAAAGGTCCCCACCTGCCGCAACATACACCTTAATTTGCATCCTTTGAGGGCAAAGACTGTTTTACTTGTTTTGGTGTATGTACAGCCATAATTGAGTGTTTTGTAAATGATACATGCTGAAACAGTGTTGACTAAATAAAATATATATTTTGTGTGTAAGTGAAGTGCAAGATTTCTCATGATGAGTCTGCTTGAACCTAAGCAGAAGTGGCAGGTCATCAAAGTCTACCTCTTGAGGCAATGAGGAGTGAGGCAGCCTCCTGAGAACTTTTATTCCCCGACCCTGCTCTTGTCCCCAGTTGGATTTAATGCCTTAGTCCCAAGAAGAGAGAGGTGCTTTAAGTCAGTGGTTCTCAAAGTGTAACTTGCATATGAATCACCTGGGGCTGTGGTTAAAATGCAGATTCTGATTGTGGAGACCTGAGAGTCTGCATTTCTTTTTTTTTGGCACTACACGCTGGGGCCTGTTGGCGGGAAATTGGGGAGGGACGGGGGTGGTGGGGAGGTGGGGAGAGATAGCATGGGGAGAAATGCCAGATATAGGTGAAGGTGAGGAAGGCAGCAAATCACACTGCCATGTGTGTACCTATGCAACAATCCTGCATGTTCTTCACATGTACCCCCAAATCTAAAATGCAATAAAAAAAAGAAAAAAAAAAAGAGAGTCTGCATTTCTAACAATGCTGCTGACTGCTTTGGTGCAAGGCCCACACTTTGAGTAGCAAGGGTTTAAGTACATTCCTAAAAAGCTGTTTCAGTAAAAATTCCATAAAACAGAAATGGCACTACTGGGAACCCTCTAATAGGACAGGAAAAGGAAACAGTCTCTGCTGCTTCTCCACAGACTCCTGCATTGCTTGGCATGTGAGAGTTCCCAGGACCATCATGCAGCATCCCAGGGGAGGCGGCAGTACCAGGACACTCTGCAGTATCCAGCCTATGAAGTTACTGCAGGTGAAGAGGAAAGAAAGTGATAACTCACCAGATAATTAACATTTTTTTTCACAGTATATGTAAAACATTACCTCAACTCCCTTCAAAATTTGGGGAAATTTTCAGGAGATTAGGATCCTATGTGAGCAGATGAACAAGTGTCAATGAAATCTGAGGTATTCCTGTTACTATTAAATCTACAAGACAGTAAATCTGAACGATACCGACTTTACTTACTGGGAGATGTTAAGAGGGTTTGGATGTTTCTGGATGATCTATTATATTCTTCCATGTAAACATTCCAGGATTCCATCATTCCACCTAGGCCAAAACAGTGCTGGATACATATGAATAAACTATCCCTGTTTGATATGGTTTGGATATTTGCTCTTTCCAAATCTCATGTTGAAATTTGATCTCCAGTATTGGAGGTGGGGCCTACCAGGAGCTGTTTGGGTCAGGAATGGCTTGGTGCCCTCCCTGTGGTAATGACTCCATGGCAGATCTGATTGTTAAAAAGACTCTGGGACCTCCCTTTCCTCTTGGTCTTGCTCCCCCTCTTGCCATGTGATTTGCTGGCTCCCCTTGCCTTCCATGATGAGTAAAAGCTTTTTGAGACCCTCACCAGGAGCAGATGGTGGCACCATGCTTCTTGTACAACTGTCAGCCAAATAAACCTCCTTTCTTTATAAATTATACAGCCTCAGGTATTCCTTTATGGCAGCACAAAATGAACAAACATTCTATTCTTGTGGTTTGATATTATTAAGAAATATTACTATCTGACTACTTAAAACTGACCTTAGCAATTTGTAGAAAAAAAGCATGGGGCCAGGCACAGTGGCTCACCACCTGTAATCCTTGCACTTTGGGAGGCCAAGGTGGGTCGATCATCTGAGGCCAGGAGTTTGAGACCAGCCTGGCCAACACGGCACAACCACATCACTACAAAAAACACAAAAAATTAGCCAGGCCTGGTGGGGTGCACCTGTAGTCCCAACAACTTGGGAGGTTGAAGCAGGAGAATTGCTTGAACCCAGGAGGTGGAAGGTGCAATGAGCTGAGATGGCACCAGCTGCACTCCAGCCTGGGTGACAAGAGCAATACTCAAAAAAAAGAATATCAGAAAATACAAACTTTCATGTGTGTTCAGGTAATATATATGTATTTTTTTTTGGGGGGGACAGAGTTTCACTCTTGTTACCCAGGCTGGAGTGCAATGGCGCAATCTCGGCTCACCGCAACCTCCGCCTCCTGGGTTCAGGCAATTCTCCTGCCTCAGCCTCCTGAGTAGCTGGAATTACAGGCACTCGCCACCATGCCCAGCTAATTTTTTGTATTTTTAGTAGAGACGGGGTTTCACCGTGCTGACCAGGATGGTCTCGATCTCTTGACCTCGTGATCCACCCGCCTCGGCCTCCCAAAGTGCTGGGATTACAGGCGTGAGCCACCGCGCCCGGCCTATATATGTATTTTTAAAGCTAAGACCAACAAAAAGAGTTTTGAAGAGAGAAGTATGTGGTAGGGCCAGAAGAGGGAGAAGTTTTTGACCAAGAATAACAAGGTACGGAGGGAGACAGACACTAATAGGACAAAAAATGCAACATTTACCAAGGAGGGCAAGAAAGCAGAACAACTAAAGTTGTATCACAGAGGAAATGATATGTAAACAAAACCCCCTCAAATATTAACAGAGAAACACAAGTACGGTAGCAGGGACGCCCAAGTAGGGTAGTACCAAACAAAAGATTGCCTAGATGATTTACATCAGGATACATGTTCATGGCTAACTGAGCTTTATTATTCAGTTGAAATAATGACTTCCGGAAGTGACTTAGGAACACTGTTCATAATGTTTTAAGAATACTGGAGGAAAATGCCAAAATACAACCAAAGACTTTTATGATATCTTCATGACAAGATGTAGACATTTGGACTGGCTGATAACATAGGCCAATTCGCATCTGAAAATCAAAGAAGGCTATTTATTGGATTGGGAAAAATTTAGCAAAAGTTCTTGGTGATATGACATAAGGTATTGTATTCAATCACATCCTCTGTTCCCTTTTTCTAAGCCAAAATTTAGCTGCATTGAATTTTACATTTAATTAGATGTAGAAATTTCACAAATCTGAAAGGACTAATTAGCATGCTGAATGATAGAAGCAGGGTCAACAGAACTTGACACGTTAAATCAAATAGCCTAAGTTAATATCATTAAATGTAAGTAAAAACAAACATAAAATCCCATATTTCAGATTAGTAGATCAATATCTTATCAATAGAAAGAGGAAATCTTATTAAATTGTAGTTCATGTGAAAATGACATAGATTTTTACTTAGTTGAATGATCAATATGAGCAGACTTAACAGAAAAGCAAATGCTATTCATTTTTTTCCTTTTCAGGCAGGTAGACTTGTTTTATTGAATGATTGATTTATATAATTGATGAAGCCACTATGAAACGACAAGAGAAGGGAAGATTTATTTCTCATTTTAGTCTTGATGATCTTCTCCTTCTTGGTCTGGAGGTGCTCCTCGTGGTACTTACCTGCTCCTTTGATCTTAGACCTATGAACTTCACCCTTGTCTGCTAGAAGCCCTTGTAGGTCTTCAGCATTTAGACATATTCCACGAGAATCCACTTGTTTTTGAACACATTTCCCTTTGTGTTCAAGTATGGGCTATGAAACACATATGGTTAAACTAGATCCACAGCATTTTCTGAGCAGCAGGTGCAGAAATCTCATCCTTCACATTCAAATTAGCTTCTTGGGCAATTGAGCCTTGACAATCCTTTTTTGCTTACCTACGCTTATATGGCTGCCCTTTCAGGGAGCCAAGGTATTTTTCTGGCACAATCCTAGAATGAAGAGTCAAAGGCTTGCCAGTGTTCAGGCCATCTTTAATCAGCTTCTGGATCTGCTGGAGACGTTGGCTTTGGTGATTACATTGGTATTGCCCAGGTCTAACCAGTCCTCCTTTTAGTAGCAGGGACTCTGGAGATGAGCCTTTTCTGAAGCTTCATGGCTGTTGTTCAGTTTTCAAGAAGCAGTTTTAGTGACTAGATTCCAAGAGATGCTCATCCTGTTGTAACCATATGGTGACTCACATTCTTGGGGTCCAGCCAGATAACACACACTTACACCTAGGGCCTCCCAGAAGTAGATGATCAGTGCTACATGGCAATAAGAGATACATAAGGACTTGAGAAAGTTTGTCTACTATTTTGTCATATTTGCATTTTATTTCAGGTGTCACATTTTGTTATGCTTATATTTTAATTCTGGCACTACATTTTTGAGGCATTGACAACTGTAGGATAACTGGGTGAAGGAGAGGTTTATTTATTTCAACGCTCATGTTCTAGAGTTGTAAGATTTAGAAATGTTTAGGTGTTGAAAAAATTGATGTATAAAATCCTTTTTAACAACCCTGCTAGGCAGGTGTTATTACTCCTTTTTGTGAAGGTGAAAAACAAAATCTAAGAGAGGTCAAGTTACTCACCTACAGTTGCACAGCTAGTTAGTGTCAGAGTCAATATCTGAACTCATCCAGCTCTAACTGTAAAAATCCAGGTTCTTTCTAATGTATCATTCATCTCATTGTGTTCAAATAAATATTTTCTTTTTCTGGTTTGTTAATGTTAAAATATGAAAAGAACTATTAGGATACAAGCATTTAAAACACATTTAGTGATACTTATGAACTACTCTATATTAAAAAATGAAAATACAGTAAACAAAATATTCAATTTGATAAATAGTAAATACCCCTATGTACAATATTGAAATTTATTTCTTCCAAATATGCCTATGTTTCTTCTAATTGATTCTCTACAGTCTGGAACTTTATTATATGTAATCCTAATAGAAGTATGTAAAATTAGAGCTTTCAAAATGAATACAGTTTTGTGACTGAAAGATTACTGTATATAAGCTTAATGTATTCTAAGGAAACTATACTTAATTCACTTTCAATAGGCTCAAGGAAATATCAATAAACAAGCATATTAATTTCATATGATAATGGATATATATATACACATAAGTATATTTTATAGAAAATAAAATGAACAGAGAATTGAAAATTGTTAGTATTTTAGGCTGTGTGGTTTCTCTGGAGACATAATCACAAATACCAAAAACTTGTATCTAAAGCCACTGTAATAGCCACTTCAATTGACAAATGTTGGTTCATGGCTCATTTAAATGCACATTTTAATTAAAAATTATGAATAAAGGCCGGGCGCGGTGGCTCACGTCTGTAATCCCAGCACTTTGGGAGGCCGAGGCGGGTGGATCACGAGGTCAAGAGATCGAGACCATCCTGGTCAACATGGTGAAACCCTGTCTCTACTAAAAATACAAAAAAAATTAGCTGGGCATGGTGGTGCGTGCCTGTAATCCCAGCTACTCAGGAGGCTGAGGCAGGAGAATTGCCTGAACCCAGGAGGCGGAGGTTGCGGTGAGCTGAGATCGTGCCATTGCACTCCAGCCTGGGTAACAAGGGCGAAACTCCGACTCAAAAAAAAAAAAAATTATGAATAATAATTTAAATATTTCCCTTACCCACCTAAATACAACATAGCCATCTCCCTTAAGAAGGGAAATTGCGATCTCTCAGAAGAGACCTTAGTGTCTGTATTCTATAAACTTATACTGGTAATTATCTCTTAAAATGGGGGAACGCTATTGCATGAACTTTTCTACATCTGTTTCAAACACTTCCCCACTGCCACCACCACAGCCATCAACAAGACACTTCTACAATGATCAATAGTGTGGTCATTTCTTGGTCAGCATCCTTGAACTGCTGGAGTTCCTGGACTGCTGGGGAAAAAATGTTCAGTATTCAATGTGAAAACCCTGGCTGTCTGCTTCTTAGAGGAATATGTATTTGGTTTTGATTTCAGCGTAATACCATCCAGTGGCTGGAAACAGGACTACTGAACTAACAGCCAACAGCAACATGTCCTTCACCTGGAAAAGGGTCATGCAGGGATTAGGTGTAGGTGTTGGGAGAAGAGTGTTGAAGGTGGGTTTCTGTAATCTGTGAAGTTCATTGGCAAGGGCTAAAATGCTGGCTGTGAGCAAGAGGAATATGATCTTAAATAAACCTAGTGGGGAAGAGAAGTATTTTAAAACATTCTTCGGGCCTTTGGTTTCTCCCATCCTCCTTTCGTCTACGAAATCTAGATTAATGGATGAAATTTTTGTAATTATTTTTTATTTTCCTATACTTTTATTATCTTCATTTTTATAGATTGGACCTGAATAAGAGTTTAAATGAATGAGTGATATTATTATCTGTGTGGTGCCATGGTTAGGAATGTAGGCTTTACCAGAGACAGTCTGGGTTTGAATCCTTTCTTTGTATTCTAGTCAAGGCAATTTTCTGGGCACAAGGAATGTAGAAGCAAATGAAATAGCAAAAATCCCTGCTTTCACAAACCATATTTACTAGCTCTAGGACATTAACTAGTCTGTAACTCGGCTTCCTCTGCAGTAGGAATCATAAGTGTCCCCACTTTTTTGGCCTGACTGAAGTGTTAAGAGAACTAATGCACAAAATAATGCTTAGAACTAAGCTTTGCACATAGAAAGCATTTAGTAAATGTGAACTCTTACATGTAAGACCATATTTTTCTCCTTTGTTTTCTGTTAATTTGAATTGTGAAGTAAAAGCATAGCAGAATCTCCGGAAGCCTCTGCACACAGCCCTTTTCTCAGCCTCTGCTTTCAAGGGATCCCAAACTTAGACACAGTCCTTCATGGATGATATTTGCTCCACATATCTTCTCTCACTTTGTGGCTTGCATTTCACTTTTTAATAGGATCTTTCAATAAAAAGAAGTTATTAATTTAAATCTAGATCAATTTCTCAATCTTTTTTAAATTATTTATTTATTATTATTATTTTTAAAGATGGGGTTTCACCATGTTGGTCAGTCTGGTCTTGAACTCCCGACCTCAGGTGATCCGCCCACCTTGGCCTCCAAAGTGCTTGGATTACAGACATGAGCCACTGCGCCTGGCCCAATTTCTCAACCTTAAGGCTGTTTTTTTTCCTTCTATATTCTGGCTATGAAATTCTTCACTACCTCAATATCGTGAAAACATTCTTCTATATTTTCGAAACCTTTATTTTTAACTGTCACATTTAGAATTACAATTCATCTGGAACTGATTTTTATGTGTGGTGAGAGATAGAGAAATGTTTCCTATTTTTTACACAGGAATGTATAATTGACTGTGGCAGGCAGAACGATGGCCCCACAAATATGTCCACGTCCTGATCACTGGAGACTGTGAATATGTTACCTTCATGGCAAAGAAGACTTGGCAGATGTGATCTTGAGATAAGGAGATTGTCTTAGATCATGTCAGCGGACCCAATCTGATTAAATGCGTCCTTAAAATGGAAGAACAATTCCAGGCTGTAGTAAGAGGGGATTGTGACTACGGTTTAATAAGAAGACATATTAATGTGCGCTTTGAAGATGGAGAAAGGGGTCATGAGCCAGTGTGACAGACGGTGGGAATGTGAGTGGTCTTTAGAAGTTGGAAATGGCAAGGAAATACTTCACTCCGAAAACCTCCAAAGAAGAACACAGCTCTACCAACACTTTGATATTAGCCCTGTGAGACCTGTGCTATACTTCTGACCTAACTGATATTGTTTTAAGCCATTAAGTTTGTAGTTATTTGTTACAACAGCTAAAGGAAATGAATACATTGGCCTGGCATTATTTATTAAAGAAACCATCTTTACCCATTCTTCTGCAGTTACACTTTTGTCATAATTGCATAGTCTGTTTCTGCATCTTTCAGTCTGCGTCAATAGTCTGATGATCTGCTTTTGTGCCAGTACTATATTCTTTTAATTTCTGTAACTTTACAATAGGACTTAGTACTCAGTAGAGCAAATTCTCTTCTGGTGTTCTCCTTTAACAGTGACTTGACTATTGCCTCGATATAAATGATATCATCAGCTTGTCTATTTCTTAATAACAACAAAAATAACTTACAGGATTTTGGCTAGGATTGCATTGGCTTCATGGGTCAATTCCAGAAGTTGACATTTTTATAATACTGATTTAAAAAATCTAGAAATTCCATTTGACCCAGCAATCCCATTACTGGGTATATTCCCAAAAAACTATAAATTCTTCTACTATAAAGACACATGCACACGTATGTTCATTGCAGCCCTGTGTACAATAGCAAAGACCTGGAACCAACCCAAATGCCCATCAATGATAGACTGGACAAAGAAAATGTGGTACATATATATCATAGAATACTACGCAGCCATAAAAAATGATGAGTTCGTGTCCTTTGTAGGGACTTGGATGAATCTGGAAACCGTCATTCTCAGCCAACTGACACAAGAACAGAAAGCCAAACACTGCATGTTCTCACTTATAGGTGGGTGTTGAACAATGAGAACACATGGACTCAGGGAGAGGAGCATCACACACTGGGCACAGTTGGGTGGGGTAGGGGCTAGACAGCTGGGGGTGGGGAGGGTTAACATGGGGAGAAATGCCAGATATAGTATTCACATAAAGCAAAATTCAAAAAAGAATCTATTTCTGTTCTATAATTTACTTGATCATCCTTAATTTTTCTTAATAATGCTTATAGTTTTCTGTGTAGAGGCCTTGTACATACATTTTGTGTTATAGATCTCTAAGTGTTCAACATTATTTGATTATGTCATGAATGGCATATTTTTTTCTGTTTTTGCTAGCATATAGAATTGATTTTTGTATATTGACTTCACATCCAGTATCTTTGCTAATACATTTCTAAATTCTAAAACTACCTGTAATTCTTTTGGAATATTTACACATACAACCACATAACTGTAAATAATGGTTTCAAAAAATAATAAAGATAACGTCTTATTAGTGTATTTTTAGGTCTCAAAGTATTAGGATTATTACTGGTAATGTGGAACTATTCACAGTTTTAAAAAATATAGAGTCAATCAATAAACAAAAGTTATTGCCATGCTTTAAGTCAATGCATATCAAACTTGTACTATTTAAGCTGTAGCATTGCTTCCATTATAAATATACCTGAAAATCATTAATTAGTAGGTCAGCAATTTGAAATTAATTTTCATCAGTTTCAGAAAAGGATGAGGCTAAATTTAGCTTTCTTTTCACAGTTAAAAGACAGAAAGTTAAATAGCATTAGAAAGGTTAAGACGACGCCAGGCATGGTGGCTCACACCTGTACTCCCAGCACTTTGGGAGGCAAAGGTGGGTGGACACTTGAGGTCAGGAGTTCAAGACCAGCCTGGCCAACGTGGTGAAACCCTGTCTCTACTAAAAATACAAAAATTAGCCAGGTATGGTGGCACATGCCTGTAATCCCAGTTATTCAGAAGGCTGAGGTAGGAGAATCACGTGAACCCCAATGATGGAGGTTCCAATAAGCTGACATAGCCATTGTACTCCAGCCTGGGCAACAGAGGGAGAATCTGTCTCAAAAATAAAAAACAAAAAGAGGTTAGAAGCTATATTCGCCAACTTCTTATAGCTTATCTCAACTAAAACCCTCATTACTTCATTGAGTTAACTTTTTTTTTTTAATAGATGTTGCTTCACTCTGTCGCCCAAGCTGGAGTGCAGTGGTACCATCTCGGCTCACTGCAACCTCCGGCTCCGTGTCTCAGCCTCCTGAGTAGCTGAGACTACAGGTGTATGCCACCATGTCCGGCTAATTTTTGTGTTTTTGGTAGAGATGGGGTTCACCATATTGGCCAGGCTGGTCTTGAACTCCTGACCTTGTGATCTGCCCACCTTGGACTCCCAATGAATTAACCTTTTAACCAGCCTACCTTCCTCTAAGCCTGTGTTGTGTTTCTTCATAATATTAAAAAGATATTATTTTCTCTTTTAAGTAGTCTTTACTTCTCTTTTAAATAAACTTCATTTTTTAGGTTCACAGAAATACTGTGCAGAAGTACAGTTCCCCCACTGTCCCTCTTCTACCTGCCCCAAACAGCCAGAAAGAGTCCATGTTGCAGTCGAAGTCTGAAGACTACCTGCTGACAGAATTCCCTCTCGTTTGGGGGAAGTCAGTTGTTTTTTTTATTAAGGCCTTGAACTAACTGTACAAACCCAAATCACATGATGGGGGACAATCTGCTTTATTCAAAATCAACCAATTTAAATGTTGATCTCATCCACAAACACCCTTGTAGAAATATCCAGAATAATGTTTGACCAACTATCCAGACATTGTGGCCCAGAAGGTTTGATACAGAAAATTAACCAGCACAAGCTTATTCCTTGTCACCTTGGCAATCATACCCATCCCCTAAACCATACTTAATCTTCAAATAAGGACAATAACAAGGTTATGCCTCTGTCTAATGTGAGGTATGAAATTATGTGGGTAAAACTGAAAATGCACCAGTCCTTTTCCCAGAAGAAGATGCAAGGTTTGGCTGATGTTTACTCTTCTTTTTTTTTTCCCCACTTATTTATTTTATTGCATTTTACGTTTTGGGGTACATGTGAAGAACATGCAAGATTGTTGCATAGGTAAACACGTGGCAGTGTGATTTGCTGCCTTCCTCCCCATCACCTACATCTGGCATCTCTCCCCTTGCTATTGCTCCCCAACTCCCCACCCCCCACCTGCCCTCCCCTATTTCCCCCCAACTGACCCCAGTGTGTAGTGCCCCCTCCCTGTGTCCATGTGTTCTCACTGTTCAACACCCGCCTATGAGTGAGAACATCCGGTGTTTGATCTTCTGCTCTTCTGTCAGTTTGCTGAGAATGATGGTTTCCAGGTTCATCCATGTCCCTACAAAGGACACAAACTCATTGGTTTTGATGGCTGCATAATATTCCATGGTGTGTATGTGCCACATTTTCCCTGTCCAGTCTATCGTCGATGGGCATTTGGGTTGGTTCCAGGTCTTTGCTATTGTAAACAGTGCTGCAATGAACATTCGTGTGCATGTGTCCTTATAGTAGAATGATTTGTAATCCTTTGGATATATACCCAGTAATGGGATTGCTGGGTCAAATGGAATTTCTATTTCTAGGTCCTTGAGGAATCGCCACACTGTCTTCCACAATGGTTGAACTAATTTAAACTCCCACCAACAGTGTAAAAGTGTTCCTATTTCTCCACATCTTCTCCAGCATCTGTTGTCTCCAGATTTTTTAATGATCGCCATTCTAACTGGCGTGAGATGGTATCTCAATGTAGTTTTGATTTGCATTTCTCTGATGACCAGTGATGATGAGCATTTTTTCATATGTTTGTTGGCCTCATGAATGTCTTCTTTTGTAAAGTATCTGTTCATATCCTTTGCCCACTTTTGAATGGGCTTGTTAGTTTTTTTCTTGTAAATCTGTTTTAGTTCTTTGTAAATTCTGGATATCAGCCCTTTGTCAGATGGGTAAACTGCAAAAATTTTTTTCCCATTCTGTTGGTTGCCGATTCGCTCTAATGACTGTTTCTTTTGCTGTGCAGAAGCTGTGGAGTTTGATTAGGTCCCATTTGTCTATTTTGGCTTTTGTTGTCAATGATTTTGGTGTTTGGTCATGAAGTCCTTGCCTAAACCTACGTCCTGAATGGTTTGCCTAGATTTTCTTCTAGGGTGTTTATGGTGTTAGGTCTTATGTTTAAGTCTTTAATCCATCTGGAGTTAATTTTAGTGTAAGGTGTCATGAAGGGATCTAGTTTCTGCTTTCTGCACATGGCTAGCCAGTTTTCCCAACACCATTTATTGAACAGGGAATCATTTCCCCATTGCTTGTTTTTGTCTGGTTTGTCAAAGATCAGATGGTTGTAGATCTGTTGCATTGCCTCCGAGAGCTCTGTTCTGTTCCATTGGTCTATATCTCTGTTTTGGTACCAGTACCATGCTGTTTTGATTACTGTAGCCTTGTATAGTTTGAAGTCTGGTAGTGTGATACCTCCCGCTTTGTTCTTTTT